AACTTTTTTTCCTGCCTTCATGGAGCTTAGGTTCTAGCAGAAGCTTACATTTGAAAGTCTTCTGTGCCTCGTTTGAGCTGTCTGATGAGCTGTTAGCGTCCGGTGACTACACTTCTCGGCTCTTGTCCCCCAGCCTTGAGCGTAGCAGCTGTTTCCCACAGTTCCTGCACCCAAGCTAGCTGAGGGTCCCCTTTTTGCTCTTCCAAACTTAGAACACATGTGCAACCAGCCCCCCCATATGAAATCCTCTCTGTTTTAAATTACAAGTATGGATCTCCATTTTTTATGGGACTCTGGCTGATCCACAATGAAAATCTAAACAAAGATCTAGCTACCCCTGGAAAAAGGCATGAAGGTGAGAATGAAGCCTATGCAGGCACCCAAACACTGTCTACAATCACTGAGTATTTTTCACCAACTGGGAGACTTCACAGTGAAAAGCCACGAGTCAACCATACTCATAGGAATTTCTGATTTCTGTAAAGGTGGCACCTGTCTGGGTATAACTGGTAAATGGTCTCTAGGCATTTCTCTGGAGAAGCTGAGTGGAAGGGAGGTTTCCTTCTGTAAATAGACATCTAGAAGCAGAAAAGATAACAAAAGAAGGAATTGTAGGAAGATGACCTGGTGCTGTTTCCTCTGTCCAGCCACATGGTCTAGATCCACACCCTACAGAGAGACAGGATACAAGCCACCTCAGGGGACAAGCAATGCTACTTGAGGCCCAGGTGACAACTGGCTGGAGCACGCTCTGAGTCTGTACAGAGAGCAGCAGACTCCGGCTCGTTTTTCCTTGACTAACAGGGTTCGCATCCCCGCCATGCCAGCAGGACTGCTCTCATGAAGGTCACAGATGATCTCTGTGTTGTCAAATGCATTGCTCAAATGTCAATTCTCATCTTACTTCAATACCAACATTGCTAATCTTTGGTGTTCTTTTCCAAAAGCTTGTATTTTAGAGACATTCGTCTGGTCTGAATGAATACCAAATAGCTAAAGGAAACTAATCCATCGAATAATTTGACTAATAAGAATGATGACAACATTAATAACTAACATTGTTGATGCTCTTCTAAGCACTTTATGTGGATTTAGTCCTCACTGCAGTCCTGTGACGTGAATACTGTTGTCACCTTCATTTTACAGATGAGGACTCTCAGCTATAGGAAGGTTGAGTGATTTGCCTCAGGTCACACTGCCAGTATATAGAGTAAGTGGCAGAGCCAACCAATCTCCATATTTCCATGATTTGGCTTCAAGCAGATCGAATTCTATATGTCAGAATTTTTCAGTTGTCATCTACATAGATTTGTTTTGGTAATATCTGTATCAGAAGGCTAGAGAAGTCAGGTTGTTGGAAAGGCCTTCACACTATTTTGCCTTCTCCACGTTACTGGCATAGCACAGGCCCTGGCTGGCCATGGTGCACTTACCTAAAGCCAGAGGGGTCAGAGCACCAGTAACAGGGGCCAAGAGGGGCACGCAGTCTGCAGGCCATGGGTCTATGGCTGGCTGTCTACATTCAAGGAACCCAGGGTTCCCAGAGCAGGTCAAAATTTCCTTAGGAGCGGACAATGCTCTGATCAGAGGCCAGTGGAGAAATCTTTTCAGGGGCCCAGGGGCCCCAATACTAGCTTGAGGTTCAGAGGTAGAACTCTTATCCCTGAAAAAGGAACTGGGAAAATAAAGCAAGATGGTAGCGCTAAAGAAAAAGATTTTTCAGCAGATTATAAAAATTAAGAATCAGAGGGCAGTGAACAAAACACAAAACCACAGGCTCCAGAGCGGCAGGAACCATTTTTGTCCTGTACCATCATATCCCCCACACAACCCGGCACATACCCCATACTCTTCAATGAGTTCCATGTATCCAAGCTCAGACCAAAGACCTGACACAAGTAGTATGTTCAACTTCATATCCAGTGGACATTGAGCACAGACATGGCAAGAGGCACTGTATCAGTCTCTCTCATACTTGGTCTAAGTGTGTTGGGCTACAGTTTCTTGACCATCCCCACCTAAGGATACATAAGTACTCACGAGTTCTAACTCCTACAGTACCAAAATGAGTAATATGAAAGTACTCAAGACCAGGCTGAGGCTCAGTCTGCAGGGTGAGCTCATAGCAGCCAAGAATGAAGGAATGTAGAGGATAGAAACTGTATAGGCTAAGCACTTTTCTTTTACCTTTCTTATTGTGTATTCCTCATATTACAAAGTTTCCGTGTAATTGTCCATTCAAGACACACTACTGACAGAAGACTAACTGTATGACCACATGCTCCTGAAGTCTGAGAACAACTGATGGGACAGTGTGATATTTTTTTTTTTTAGTAACCTTAGCAATGGAATCAGTTAAGATCAGAAGATTATTTCCGAAAATCCATTTCTTCACTTTTTAAATACCCTTTATTTACTGGTTTCAACTTTGGCTAAAATACTACTTAGGCATTTTCTGACCCTTATTGGAATTCTCCACACAAATGACTAAATCCTAAAACTAATGGCATCAATCTCAAAACCAAATCAATCAATTGGAAAGGGGCTCACTCACGTGAGTACAGAAGCACCTTTTGTTCTTACTAATACATTTTTGGATAACGTATCCATGTATTTTGCATATTTACCCAAAGATGCAGCATTGTGCAAAACCACAAGTTACAATACAACATTCCAGGGCTCTTAAAATATATGTTGTTTCCTTGTGACACTGGTATCTTTCCCTTTCTTGTGGTTTTATCATCCCATGAACCATAAGGTCGCAGTTTCAACTACCAAAACTTGACGTCCTGCCTCATCAGAAAGTTCTTTATCACCCAAAAGATGGCATTTAGAGCAACCTGCTCTTGCTCATATTCCATTTTACTTTCCATTTTCACACTTCTATCTTACCAAAGAACTACTATTGTAAAGATTGACAAAAGAAGGAATAGACCAAAGACGTTGAATAAAAACCCTGCAGTCCTAAATTTGAGTCAGAAATAACAGTACAAACTCAATATAAATAAAAAGACTATTAAAAAACTTTGAGACAATTAGAAATATGAACATTGGACATTTGTGAATATTAAGCAATTAATGCTAAATGGCATAGGTATGATAATGATACTATGGTTGTGGTTTTTAAAAGTCTTTATCTTTTAGAAAACTACAAAAATATTTTCAAATAAAATCTGATATCTGGAATTTTCTTAAAAATAGTGCAGGAGTGGAGGAGGCAAGTATTGAATTTGGATGAAGGGTAAATGCGGTGTGGATGGTACTAATCAGGTCTAGCTTTGTATATGTTTGAAGGAGTCCTGTAGAAATTACTGGAAAGTCATATCAAACTTGCCTTGTACATGAAGAACGTTTTTCTTGAGAAAACTCTCTTCACATTTTTTTTTTGAAAATTAAAATACTTAATTCTCTTGCTTTTAAGCAAATTATCATAGGATTTCATCTTTACATCCCCCTCTCCCACTACTGGAGAGAATAATTAGACCAAATATGAAAAGAAAAGGTCAAAATGGGACAGCAATTCAGAAGGAGGTCAATTAGGTGTGTCATTTTGGGGATGGAGCTAGTAGTAAAGGTCTGGACTGTATGTTATTTTCTAAGAACTTACTATTTATGACTGGCCTCCAATACCAGGAAAAAGCCTTTGACCACCATATAGCCTAAGACAGCACTAAGACTTCTGTGCATCTGGGAAAACATTAGTTCTTCAACCTCTAGAGTACAAAAAGCTAATGAACATCATTGTGTCTTTTGGTGCACTTCCAGAACTTTCCCCCAACACCCTTGAAATACCAACAGTCAGCACTCATTCAGTAAAGTAAATGTCAAAGGCAAGTTTTGGAGGACTAACTTCAGTCACTCTGGATAGAAATAGTAATAATAAAAATAATTTCCCCTTTAATAGATAAGGAAAGTAATGTTAAGGAAGCTTAAGTAGTTTTTCCAGAAAAATCCAGTAACTGGTGAGAAACAGAGCAGATCTCCCTGGGATTTTCCAGGCCTGCTCCCAACTGCTGAATGTCACTGGGAAGAACACACTCCTGTTTCCTCTTTAAACTCACGACCACAAATTTTCAGTGGTACCCAGCTCTCCTGGGAATACTGCTACACTCCCTTAGTTCGCTCTCCCACTTCCCAAGTAGACAGTTCTACTCCTCTTCGTTTCTTCTCCAATGTCAAGGGGCCCTTCCCTCTCTCACGGTTGTTGGCTTTGCCTCATGCTTCCTCGGAAAAATAAAAGCCATCAGGACAGAATCCCACCATCTTCCCAAACAAACCTCGCAGCCGGCCCACACCCCTGTCCCTGCTCCCTGCCCTCTCTCCTGTGGCTAAGGGAGACTCCCATGTGGCATACTGTGAACAAACCCCTCCATTCCTCAGCTTCTGGAGGAGTTTGTCCTGAATAACCATCTCTCCTCTACATCTAAAAGACTCTCCGCTAAAGCAGCCTGTGAGCTCTATAATCTAACATCTATAAGAAATCAAGTAACACTGCCCTTTACCGCACATCTCCCTCCAGCTCCAGCCCCACCTCCCTGCTCTCCTTCACAGCAAGCACCTGGCAAGCGTTGCCTCCAATAAGGTCCTCTTCCCCAACCCCTTCTTTTCTCTCCTCCACTGCCTACAGTGAAGCTGCATTCCCATCAGAGAACTTGCCACTGTCAGAGGCTCTAATGACACCAGTTTTCCCATAGTGTGTGATTCTCTTCACTGATGTACTCAAACACTCAGTAACCCGCAACACAGCTGGCCACGCCCTCCTTCTTAAAACACTCTTCCCTGAACCTCCATGATCCCAGACCCTCCTGTACTGAGGCAGGGAGGAGGTGAGTATACTCCTGAAGCAGGGTGAAAACTGTAAAGTAAACGAAACCAGACCAGGCATGCAGCAACAAAGGAGCCAGAAAAAAATTTTATTAGCGCAATCCCGGGCAAGGTACACGGGTCTGCGTATCCACAGGCCAGGGAAGTCGCGCGCAACAGGAGGAGCAACAGGCTTCTCAGGGGAGCTGGGAGAGCCCTGAGGGTATTGGAAACAGAACTAATTGGCCAGTGTGGGTGTCGTAATCACTGATGATTGGTCCTGCTGGGTTGCTGGGAAGAGAGTACTGTGGCGCATGTTCTAGGCAGGACTTGTGGCAGGGGACCTCCCTTTGAATCATTTCAGTGACATTCGCCGTTCTCTTCCTTACTTAGTTCGAGTCGGGTTCCTCCAGTGAGACCCATCCCTTCCTCCGGTACCTCCGGTCTTACAAAAACCAGCATGGCTGGAATGCACTGAGTGAGGAGAAAGCAGGACGACACGAGGTTGCAATGCCCAGGGGACACAGCATCATGTAGAACCTTTTAGGTGAGAGAAAGAAGTTTGGGAGATTTTCAGGGCATCTTAAGCAGGTGGCCTTAATGTCCTTATGTTTTTATAGGTCACTCTGGCTGTCTGTGGAAAGTGGGCTGCACAGGCGTGAGAGCAGGATCATGGACAACAATTAGAAGGCTCCTAATAAATTCTAAGTAAGTGTTTGTTGCCTTGAATTAAATTGGGAAAAAGAAAAGGCACCAGTAAGCAGAAAGTTCTGCAGGACAGAAATGGAACCAGAGTGAAATTCCAGGGGCCTGATAATGAGCTCTTGGAATGAGTGAGAGGATATTTTCACCCATGGGATTTGGCCACATTTCCAGAAAAACCCAAGAAATTATCAGAGAAGACTCCCCGTCTGGACGTGCCCACGGAGCAGGTTTGCTCCTCCGACTGGTGAGCCCGGCTTTCGTCAGCACCGGCAATTCCTATCAGGCCATGTCCTGCAACGGGGGGCGTTTGACTCATTATCTTCCACTGGGCCTGTCATGTCCCGTTACTCTCCAGTTCCTGACAGGACACTCTGAGGCATGATGCATTATGATTTGACACCAGTTACCCCACACTGTACCTCATTAGAGGGAGCAGAAAAGGGGTAACCCACTCTTTACTACCCCCACTCTCTCCACAACTTCATTAGTCTCTTGATCTTTCTGTGGTTGTCATTAGAGGCTTAGAGTTTTATGTCCTGGTCAATTTCCAAATGACAGCTTTTAGTGTCAAAGTGATCAAGGAGCCCTGCTTTGCCTTTCCCACAGTGACAGCAGCAGACAATCACAGGAAATTGATCATGTTGGATAAACTCACCTGATCCTAAAAATGATATTGGCTTCCTGCTCCAGGGCAGGGCAAAAACAACTGAAAAATAATTGCCAGTACACCCCAGAGGGAAATTCTTTCCCTTCCCCAAATTTGACGATCAATCAAACACAGGGCATGTGACCAAGATTCACTGCTGTGAAGAACGTAATTCCATTTACACGCCAAAACACCATGGCAATTTGTTTTGAACTGGGGCGGGTCATTCTGTCTGGGTTTTTATTTTTCCTTAAGAAAGACTATACCTGCAAGAGCAGCAAGAACATATGATACTAAAACAAAAACCACATCCAGAATATAGATGCATTTCCTAACAAATGTTCCTAACAATCCTGATTAGGTTAACTAGTCTGTTGCCATGTTTTGATTATTCCTTCTCAATGTTTAAAACATGAGATAAAAAAAAATATGTGGTACATTGCAATGTTCTTTTCCACGTAGTCTCAGAGTTTCCACGTAGTCTCAGAGTTTGATGTGCTAGCTATCTTCAAAAAATATACCACCTTTGGTATTATTTAGTCTTTCACGTATAGAAAGTCTCTAGAATGGGTTTATTCCTTAGTCTAGAAGTGAGAAGTCCAACGTGACTAATATGATTCAGGAAGAGGCTTCCTGTAACCAGGAAAAATAGTTTGCATTCCTGTACATTTAATTTCCAAATGCAACTAGGGCCTTTAATCTCTGCATCCTTTGAATTTTTAGGGAAGTACTGGGGAAGACACATTGAGTAAAGTTGCTCTCTCAATTAGTGAAAGAGCCTGTAGGGTTACATTTGTGGCTCTACAGACTGTGCTGTTCTTTGAAGATCTTGAACTAATTAGGACTTGTCTGCTCACTGTTTTCAGTACCTGACCTTCCATAGCAAAATGACCTGGTGCTCATTTGTATGTTACTTTGAGTTTGTTTAATCTGTAGTTTTCTCTTTGAAAGCTCTGCTCTCTCCCTAAGCTCCCCAAAGACCAGAGGCTCTCAGACACCATGCTTTCCCCTACAGACACACCCACCATACCAGTTTGCCTTTATACATCCCACTTGAGTATTTCCAACTAGGAAATGGCCTGGATTAATGTGCAAGAAGCCAAGCCATTTGGAAGAGAAAGCCAGACTCAGAGTCCTAGCAAACAAGCCAGGATCAAATTCCAGAGTTGTGTCCACTAGATTCTGCATTGTTTTAATAGCTGGAAGGAGATTCAGTAGCCAATAAACATTCAAGAAACGCTAAAAGTGTTCAGTGAGAAGATGAATTGGCAAAAGACAAGGAAGATACTGGAAGACAGATGACAAGCTTGCCCAACACCATCCAAGGACAGCATCTCCCTATAAGCATCAGTGTCAACAGTATTTCCCACCCACAGAGGAGTCTATTTACTTATATATCTACCTATTACCTATTTATATACAAGACAGGTATCTGTTTTTCTTCATGTTTTTTTTTGCCATGCCATAAAAACCTGGAAAATAAAAACTACAGTTGGAAATGACGTGGTGTGTGGGGTTTCTTGATTTGTGTTAGAGAACTTCACGGTAAGGAATTTTGACAAATCCGAGGTGAAATGTACCTGGGCACAGGGTTGTCTAAGATCTCAGGATGAAGGAAGCTTTGCCGACTAGTTAGGCAGTGTGGACACAGCTCTGCTGCTGAGTTGCCACCATATTTCTTTGGGCAGTCTTCCTAATCTGCCTGCATCAGTAACTTTCAATGGTCCTGTAATAATACGCACTGGGTTATTGTGAGGATTCATGAAGAAAATATATAAAACAACTAACACAATTCCTAGCCCATGTAAGGTGATCGATGGTACTGGACTTTTTCCCTTTTATGCCCAGTTAGATTTCTAAAGATATACATGAGTCCAGTTTGTAAAGTTCTTGGAAATCCATACTTACATTTTAATATGCTGTGTAATAAACTTGAACACAACTATGAAGTGTTTTACCTTTATTCTAGATCCCAGTGGGTATCTCACCCTTGACTGTTTGAGGACATAAGGCAAAATGTCCGTGCCATCCTGCACAGTAGTCACATAAAAATGCCAAAAAAGGTAAAATGATAATATTTTTATATGTTGAGATAAATAAAAGATATCATTAAAATTAACTTGACTTGTTTCCTCATCCCCTTTTTAACGTGGCCACAGGAAATTTTAAATTATGTATGTGGTTCACCTTATATTTCTACTGGACGGTGTTCATCTGAAGGGTAAAGACCCAGAGGTAACCCAAAGGAGCACAAAAGGTCAGGTGTCTGCCAAGTTCACCAATGCCCTGGGAGGCAACCTCAACAAATAAGTCCATATGCTTATTTACTTCAGCACTGTTGTACCCACACACAGCAAAAAGTGCTTTGCACGTGGCACAGCAGACCCCTCCTCTCCTGCCCCTGTGTCTTCTGATGCTAAGTAAACAACCACCACAGAAAAGGCCTAAAGCAGAGCTGCCTCAGTCTGGTAGCCACCAGTCGTTAATGACTACTGTATTAATGCTGCAAAGTATACAGCCCCTGTATTTTCTTGACTAAAGTGATTGGGGCAAATTGTCAAAAGAATGGAAATATTGCCTCTCCAAAAGAACTAAGCTCACATCATTCCCCTAATCCTAATCAAGGTCATTTTTATAGGCTATGATAATGATTTTTATATAAACAGCGGCCTCCATTTAGTAGTTTTCCATTGGCCTGGCATTGAGAAGTGTTTGACCCATTAGGCTTACAAAAAAGATACGCAGTCTAAGAGAAAGCAAGTTAATCTTTCATGTTACTAGTTGCCAGATGTTAGATTTTGACCCTTGAAGAGTGTACAGGCACACACCTTCACTGACTGCAAACCGGGCATGGGATAGCATAACGTGGAAAAGATTAGTCATGTGAGGGGTCTTGAATCCAAGGGTCTCTTTTGGGATTTAGCTGCTATTCTTGCCTTTCTCTAAATGACAAAAGACTTTTAAAAATCATAAAGCACCCCATAGTGTCCATCTCAGGTTTCTAAGGTCCCATTAAAGGACCAGCTCTGTGTGTGAGAGGGCATGAATCTATACAACCACAGCAATCTATTTTGTACTGATGATTGTATATGTAATTTTCAAAATGACACCTTCCAAATGCTAGGCAGGGGAAGAAAGGTTAATTCTTCCCATATGGAATTCTGGTAACAAATGTTTACACAGGCTTTAATTATGTATTGTCCTGGGATAAATGCACTTTGAGATTTACCTCCAAAGAAAGAAAATTCAAGTAGAGGTAGTGGCCAGGAAGAAGGAGGAAGCTATGGTGAACTACTGTTGGGCTGTGTTCTGGGGACTAACTCTATTACTCTCCAGTCTTTGATTTGACTGAATATCTTAAATTGATTTATCTGCTTTATAAAACATATTCACTTTAGAAAGGCCAATCTGTATTTTTTAAAGAGCAGATGTCACTCAGTCGAGTCACTGGACCACTCAAGAAGCACAATGGGAAGACAGTGGGATGGGGAGGCCACCTTCTCCTCCTCCAGCTCACAGCTCTGCCCAAGCAAGCGTCAGGCCAATCGCTTAACCACAGTGGACCTCCGTTTCCCATGAGCACAGTGGAAGTGCAGACAGCAGCTCTTCCTTGTTGCACAAAGACGTTTGGATGGCTAGCAGAAGTAAGGATTTGGCTCATTCCTCTGCCTCAGTCACCCATGGAACACGGACCTGCCTACTCACCCTATCCCTAATCTCCCTCTTCCTGCTACCACCCCATCCAGCTCAAGGAGAGAGGCAAAGAGGTAGAAGGTCTGTACGGAAGGACCCAGTGAGAAAATGGAGTGAACTGAAATCAATCCTAAGGCTTCAAGAAAATTCAGAACTCCTAGCTAACGTGGTCTAACTTCCTAAGTTACTCACTGTTCTGCACCTCTCCTGTCTCGGGTACTATACTAGCCTGCAGAGGCAGTGCAAGAGACCCTCCAGACACACATTGTTTATTATCTTACTATGGAGAAGATATCCACTCACGGAGCCAGCAGAACAGGTTAGCGCACTTTTTGAAAAATGATGTAACAGGGTATGGGCTCCTGTTCCACTCTGCCGGTAAGGATGGGAGGCAGAGGGCTGCTACTATGCCTGGTCCCCCCTGCGGCTGAGAGCGTGTGGTGGGTTCTACATGGGCTGACTCCTGAAGTTTGTTGCGTGCTGGGAGAGAAGCAGG